AGTCGACAGAAATGAGTCGATCTCACGGGATATCTGGACTGCTTCGGCGTCGTTTGCAGAATCAGGTACTGTAGCAGTCGGCGTATTCAGCAGGATTTACGAGTTCGACAGTCCGAGGTATGTGATGTTTCAGCTGGATACACGGGATTCGCTCAGGTATTTTGACGGTGCCGAGGTATTGAGCGGGATTTCAGGGATTTGCGGCAGAGACAGGTATGATTTCGTTTTTGTTTCCTTTGGATATTATACGAAGGTCAACAGTGACGGATGTGGAGGGAATAGGAATTAATTAAGATGTGCTGGTGGATGAGGGACTGGCGGCGGGAGTTGAATGAGTAGTGACGGAAGTGGGAGTTAGGAGAAGAGGAGTTAAGGATGGACTGCCGAGAGGTTTGGGTAAGGGTTGATCGGAGGGTTTGTAAGGAAAAGTTTGTTCGTGAAAAACAACGTGACAGGAAATATGAAGTTTGTTAGTGTGTATATTGAGACCCCTATAGCCTTTGTGAAGAGAGGAATACCCAAGGAAGATGCATTCTTGGGAGCGAGGAGAGAGCTTGTCCGGAGAGTATGATTTCAACCATGGGAAGCAGAGGCAGCCGAAAGTGCGGAGGTGATTATAGTTTGGTGGTTTGCCATGAAGCTTGAATTAGGGAGTTTGAAGAGAGATGACTTTAGATGGAAGTCGGTTTATGAGATAGTTCGCGGTCGAGAGGGCTTCGGCCCAGAAAGAGTGGAGGAGATTAGCCGTGTGAAGGAGAGTTCTGGTTAGGTTGAGAAGGTGCCGATGCTTGCGTTCGGCCAGTCCATTCTGTTCAGGTGTATGAGGGCAACTGATGTGATGCGTGATACCGTGATCGTTAAGAAAATATTTAAAAGATAAGCTCGTGAATTCACCACCGCCATCCGACCTGAAGGTTGTGGGTCTAGCTTGAAATTGGTTTTGAATTAGGGAGAAGAAATTCTTGAATTTGTTTAATGTTTCGTCTTTTGAGTGCATGAGATAGAGCCATGAAAAACGAGTGCAGTCATCTATGAAGATGACGTAATATTTACGTAAAGTGCTAATATGAAGTAAATTGGAAAGTTGTAGCTTACATGCGGTATCCGAAAGTGGGAGTAGGCCTTGCCCGGAATGCTGAATGGGGAGATTGATACCATTAGCAATAGAGAACATGTCAGATCCATTGTAGGGGGTGGAAGAATTGAGGTTCACGAGGTCGGGAGTGAGGTGAGAGGAGGTGCCGTAATCAAGAACCCAGTCGGATGTCGGAGTGGAGTTGTTGTGAGAGAACATAGCCCTTGGTGACCAAGAAGTCGTTGGCGCATACTTGAGATTGCAGCGATGCCAGCAATTTAAGGCGAAGTGACCGACTTTACTGCAGATTTGGCACGTCGGGCGTTCGGAGGTATTTTGCGGAGGTTGGAAGGAGGACGAGGATTGGGAGGGTCGGCCTGAGGGGTTCTTGCCTTTGGTGTTGCGAGAGAAATTCCGTCCGCGAGAAGTTGTGGTTCGGTTGGAGAACAAGGCCACGGAGTCTGCAGTGGAGATGAGATCTTTTTGTTGTTGAGTTTGTATGTTGATTTCCTCGCTGCAGAGGAGGGAATAAAATGTATCGAGGTCGATTGGTTGGAGGGAGGTGCGGATAGCCGATTTGAAGGCATTGTAAGGGGATGGGAGACCGTTCAGTATGTAGATAAGGATGTCTTCGTAATCGATGGAAGAACCGGAGGCAGCGATGTTATCTACCAGATTCTTGACATTGGCAAGATACTGCTGCATTGATGAGTTCTTCATTTGGATGTTATGAAGCTCGTTCTTGAGCTGTATAACACGAGAGCGATTTGACGGCTGAAGCCGTCGCTCAAGAATCTGCCAACTTCTTGAGCGGAAGTAGAGGTGAGAACGTAGGGGATAATGGAGGAGGAGATGGTTGAAAGAAGTGCCGATAATAAGTTGCGATCGACGAGACACCAAAGATTGTAATCGGAGATGGAGGAGATCGGCGGACATGGAGTTTCGCCGGTGAGATGGCTTCGCCGAGAAATGTTGCATGAGTTGGAAGCACCAGATTGGGTAGGTTTCGGATGATAGCTGAGTTGGTACAAGTCTTTAGATTAGAAATGAAAATTTTGAGTGGGGGAATGAGATACTCTGATTGAGAGCCGGTGGTGGTGGAGACGGGCGGGTGGGAAGAGGCGGCCGAGTCTTATTCTGCCATGCCTGAGCTCTGATACCATGAGAAGAAAGAAAGAAGAGGCAGAGCAGAGACAAAACGATCTTGGAAGAAGACGGAGAAGAAGAAATATTAGGTTATTGATATCATAATGTGAGGTTCAGGAGTGCTATAAATATAAAAGCTAATACAAGAAATGTTACAGAAAAGACACGTATAGAAGGCTTATTGGATGGTTCTAACATAAAGTAAGAATCAAACTGTCCCAAATTGCCACAAAGGAGTACAGCAAGAATCTTCCTCCAATCAAAATATTTTGAAAGCTACAATATAATATAAGAACAATAAGCTACATATTTCATAAAATAGACGAATCAAGATAATGGCGACCTAACTACGCAATGTACAGCAAATCTACTTCCCAAGTAAGGAAATAAATTCACGCTTAATGCAAGACTATCGAGCACATGGAAAAGTTAGTGTTGGAGACTGCAGTTATAATTCTTGTTTACAAACTCAGTTGCAGCAATTGAGAAACCAAAATCAAGTGATTTGAATCCACTAATCTAACAACAAAAGAAAAGTGAGGTATAACAGAAAAAAAGTTCACAAAATCCATTTCCATATGATAAAGAATATAGCTTTGGCCAACTGATAAGACAAAGCAATCAGCTTTATTTAAGGAAATCGCCGAAAACAGTAAAAATGAAAGCTAGTTTACCACTGCAGTACTCCAAGACAGTACAAAAAGTATTATGATCAATCTCAAATATGTCCCACAGCTGCACAATATGAGGATGAACCAGTGTTTTGTGTATGTTGTATTCCCGAACTGCATGGCGTATGTAGCTCTGTTTTTTCTCTTCACTCCACTGAACATTTAAACCATGAAGCTTACACGCAACAAATCTGTTCTCCACCAAATCAAAAGCCTGCATGATAGTTCCCACTTCAAATCAATGAGAAAAGGTTATGCTTAAAAAGCCCAACAAAGCAAAAAAATCAAAAGTTAATGAATCCCATTTTAATAAATTTTAAGAGGAACATTGCCAAATTTTGTGGCATTTCATACATGTGGCTGATTCACAACCCCTGTATAAAATCTGCAGTTTATTGAACCGGTGGGCAAGAAAACTTATGCTCCTTGTCTACCAAACAAGAATAGCAGCACACAAGAATCTTCACTCCTTGACAGGAGAGCACCAAAATAATCCCGCGATAAGTCTAAATTTGCTTTGTTGATAATTTTAAGAAATAGAGTTGCGGACTTACTTTGTAAACCTCACTGAAGCCACCCTTTCCCAGTAGATTTAAAAGAGCATATCGTTGGTTAAGAACTTGGAAATTATTAAAGCGTGAGCCATCCTCATCCCTTACTCGCTTCATTTCGCGAATAAGCCTTGCCTTCTCCGATTCATAACGGTCCCTCTCTTTGAGAAAATTTTCTTCCTCCTGTGTGAAAGAAAAGTAACATAAATAACAATTTGACAGAAAAAAAATAAAGGAAAATTATCAATGACATGTAATGTGAAAGTATACAGTTCAAAATTTTCAAATAGAAAGAAAAAAGGTGTTTACACGTCTGATGCTTGCTAAGCGTGATTTGCAAATTTCATCTTGTATAAGAAAATCTTCTTCTGACATTCCAGTTTCAATATCACTTCCATCACACTTGTCTACAAACAAAAAAGTCATGTAGAACCGTAACTTTAGAATTAAAAGAAAAATAAGATAGCAAATTTAATATCTAGGTGGACAAAAGTTACTTCAACAAAGTTTATCACTAATGAATAACAAATGAATAGAAAAATGGTTGGGAGATATAAAATGAAAGATTTCTATGGAAAAATAAAATTGAATGGTTTACATGGCCAAATAAAAAAGGTTAGCATATTTCACAAAAAAATGTAGTAGAATAAAAGCTAATGTTATGTATATGAAATCGTTTTTACTATTATGTTTAGCTCTCATGCAAATATATTTTTTACTATCTAACTGAAGCAACATGCAGCAAATACAAATATTTATCTTCCTTTACATGTAGGGTTTTAACCTACAATGCTCAAGTGTTATTTAATAATCTGTCAAACAAAACTTAAAGAATGGCTATACAAATATCATTGTAATTTTTTTATGAGCAAGGTTGTAACTAATTGTTGGTGTACATATTAGGGATGTTTTTATCCTTAATTTGAGCTTATTGTATGCGCTTTTCATTATTTCTCTCTTTTCTCCAAAATAAATTAATAAATAAATGATTTTTTCCATAAAATATTTTCTTTCTAATATAATTTAAAATTTTTTGTATTTTTTTTCCTCAGTCATCTAAATGTTCATTAATCTCTCAAAAGCTTTCTCTCTTACAAGAATGACTTTCCCACTTATATGATCATTTACGTCTTGGTTAGGGCCTATGAGTGCCTAGGAATCACCATTAAAAGTAAAAATACAGTCAGATATGATAGATAAATCATGACATCCTTTTCAAAGATTAGCACATTTTATTTATGATTAATAAATGGTTTGATGACATTTTATTTATGATTTTATACAGGAGTTGTGAATCAACTACATGTATGAAATGCCACAAATTTTGGCATTATGATAGGGTTGAAAACAGAGCAACTATAATTTTCTTTTAATATATTAAGCAAACTTTTTTTCTTCTTTTTATATGACAATGATATAATTTTTTCTTATATTTTTAATAATTCATTCACCATTTTGTAATGTAAAGTGCTAATTTTAAAATAGTATGGGCTACAATATGAGGCATGACTTCACAGGACTTTTGAGCTATGATAAGTTATCCACTATTGACAAATATGGACTCCCCCATGGTGTTTAACTAATGCCCTAGGGCCAAAAGGCACTTGACTACTCATGATACAAATTTGGTGGATAAGATAAAAGCAACTATTAATCCAAGTGATTAAAAGATAAAATTATATCAAGGTGCGACATGCTAAATGTCTCTAAAGTATTGTGCAATAAGAGGATATCATGAAGAATTGAAAATAAATTTAACAAAACTATAATTAGGTTAATGATGTTGAGTCTGGTCATAAAGCAGTCATTGATATCAAAATTAATTATGGCACAAATAAGAATACTAAGATTGATGCGTGATGCTAAGAAAAATAAATAAATAAATAAATATATCAGAAAATTTTAGTGACCTCTATTAAAGATAAGATAAATGAAAATAAATTTATGTGGCCTGGACATGTACGACAAAAGGATGAAAAGGCATTGATTGCATGAGCAAATAAAATTAATATCAAAGGGTTAGAGACTAAAAAAAATTAGAATGTAGGAAATATGGATAAAAGTTATTCAAAGCGATTTTCAAAGTATATGTTTAACGCCACATGCAGAATAGAAATATGAGCATTCATAAAGTCAAGCCAACTAGTAGCATCGATGGATCTTTGATATTTTAACCATAGTTAATTTACTAAAATAAAAAAATAACATCTTCATATAAGCAAAAATTGTTCTACTGTTATTTGAGCTAAAATGAATAAATAATTGAAACAAAATAAAAATCCTACCAGATGAGCATTAATATCCTTCAGCATTTGACCATCCTCCCAAATCTCTGAAATGACTGTTCCTTCTCTGAAGATTCACGATACAGCAAAATAAGTAAGCCATAATCAAAATGATTATGATATATCATATGTAATCTTAATATGTTCATGAAACATTTATGAATAGAAACATCTCTGGTGGAATATCTGAATTTGTAATGAAGCTCATAGGAGAATGGCATGGCCTTGCAAATTGATGCATCAGAAAAATTTCCCAGGAGGAAATGAAATTAAATTATTGCATCAGAAAAATTCTTGGCTTCATGTTGTATAAGAGCAAGACTTATATGAGATAGAGATAGAAAGGGTGGGGAGAAATCTAGAAAATTTCCTGCTTTTTCAGTAGAAGCATAATCCAAAGGATCCTTCAATCAAGATAAAACCGTAAATCACAATTCAAAGTAATAAATCTAACTAATGAGATGACAACTAATAAATTGCAGATGAAAATAAAAAACAGATTAAAACTAATAAACATGGAATGGAATGGTGCTTGCATGCTAATATACTGTTGAATTTCTAATTGAACTAAAGCACACAGAATCAACAATCCTTACTGCAGATATGAACCAAGAACACCAGAAGAAACAGGTGAATTTGCTTAAAATACATTATATTAGATGCCAACCTGATAATACTAACAATGCCCAGCCTCAAGGATTCTTGCCTTATTTTCATCCTTGCTTCTTGTCTCTCAACTTTAGAGACAGATACCAGAAGATCAGATAGCACCTTTAGTTGCTGCATTAGAATAATGATAGAGATAGAAGTTAATTGGAATTGTATTTTAGATATGTGATATATGACAAATGAAAACATAAAAGCTTAATACCATGTTCCAGCAGGCGCTGCATTTCAACATATTATTTCACGAGTGGCAAAGCCAACAAATAAAAAATGTTTCTTAGAATATATGAACTAATCAATCATATATTCAGATTATAAGAGAAAATAATTTTAATTTCAAATATTTAAATATCCTATTAGAAAGGGCTGCCACATATTTTTATGGTGCGTTTTTTCATCAACGCAACAAAGTTTAGCATGCTACACCTATTGCATCTAATGTTAGTAAGACTACAATTAATAAGGATAGCACAAAAAAATCAACAGCAGCATCTGCATGGGTTAAAATTTTTTTGCAAAAAACAAGTTTAAAGTGTCGAGAGCTAGTCATTATGCTAGTGAGTGTCCCACAAGGAACTTACATAATGCTAAGGATGATGATGCGGACATCGGAACGAAAATCTGGCGCATCTATCACAGGAGGCGTCGTAAATCGACGA